TTATTACAAAAATTACTTAAAATTTTAATTAATGGTTGAGTAAATGTAAACTTGGTTTTATCAAATAATAAATTAATTATTAATTATTAAATTTTCTATCCTGTTTTTTTATTTTTATTTATTTAATTACAAAACTATCTTTTTATTTTTATATCAAGATAATATTTTATATGTATATGTGTGTTATGTCAAATTTATGGTTTAAATTAGAATTTTTGAAAATATAGGTCAAGACAATTTAAGTAAAATAAAAAAATTTTTATAAACAAAATGATAGAAAATTAATTTAAATTTAGTATAACAATATTTTGTCTATACTTCAAATTTTATTTGAAGATAGTGAAAGAGAAGATAGAATAAGGTTTATACCCAGTGTCGTGAAAATAGTTTCTCGGGTAATTAAGGTCGATAAATGGGAAAGTTTGATAGATTATACTAATATTTTTTCTATTTATATTACAAATATATGCATAAATAATTTAATAAATTATTATATTTATTATTAAATATGTTTCTTTAGTTTAAACGTTATAGAATTTAATTGTGTTAATTTAAGTTGTATTAATATAATTTTATTTTTATAATATATGATTGCACACATAGATAGTTGATTTTATTTAAAAAAAAAAAAAAAAAATTCTATGAAAACGAGAATGTATGAAACTACGAGAAAGAGATGGAATATATTCTGATATCAGTGCAAAGTTATCGATCCGTCTCGGATGCTGCGTCTCGAAACAATGTTCCCCTCCTACACCCACACATACTCCCACACATACACTTAAACTAAATCTCGTGTGTTCTATAAAATCTACAAGCTTCGAACAATATAATACACACATATGTAATAAATGTATATATCTGATGAAAAGTTAAATGAAAAAGAATCAACACAAAAGGAAATAAAAGTTCTGATAAAATGAATCTCCGATAAGTATTAATAGAAATTTTTATAATTTTTCTTCTTGACATACCAATCGATATATGTACATTTTATTCTACGTATAATAAATTACAATGCAAATATTAAATATTTATAATTCATAATATAAGTACAATTACTTTTGTAATTAACTATAACTATTAATTATATATAATATCAAATATATATATAAAAAAAAATAAATATTAATAATGTACATCAATGTATATTAGTGTACATCAATGTACATCGGTGTATATTAATGTACTAAATCAAAAAAATTAATGATATTAATTAGAATAAAATATAATAATATAATAAAATGTGTAATATCGAATATATACATATAGGAAAATAAATATTAATAATATCTATAAATAAAAATATATATAATAAAAATAAATGTTAAATCATTTATATCAATTATAAAAAAATAAATTATTAATAATGTACATCAATGTATATTAGTGTACATCAATGTACATCATTATACATTAATGTACTACATCAAAAAAAAATAAATGATATTAATTAGAATAAAATATAATAATATAATAAAATGTGTAATATCGAGTATATAAAAAAATAAATATTTTAATAATATTATATATAAATAAAATAATTTAATCATTAATATTATTTATAAAAAAAAATAAATTATTAATAATGTACATGGGTGTACAATTCAAGTACATTAAAATATACTACATAAAATAAAAGATAATAATAATTTAATGATATTAATAATAATCAAATAAATATTACTTTCCTACAAGTTCAATATACTTTCATTACTTTCATAGATATAATTTACGAAGTATAGTTCATTAACGATATCGTTTATAGACCAAAAAAAAAAAAAAACAAAATATATTTTAAATGGTATAACACATAAAACACGCGTTTATACGATCATCTAACATACAATTTTAATCTCCACTTTCTATCGAGAGTATCTAACCTTGAAAGATCTAATCGTTAAACAGTCACTAATAAAACTATAACGTAATCTTCCACGAGATTATGGTAACGTCATTATCTTTTTTTTATTTTTTTTTATTTTTTTTTTTTTTTAAATCAATTTAAACTTTGCGAAATATTCGTTTGTAATAATTCACATAAATCTGAAGAATGATTATACTATATTTATCACTAACATAAAAGCTCTTAACGTTTCTTAAAATGACTGCTCGTTGATCTTCGTAATCACCGAGTTCAAGAGTCAACGATTGATTGATAATAATTCTTCAAGGACAACAACGTATTATATATTTATAATGTTCTCGTGGAAAAATCCAATAATTTCTTTCAATCATTTTATACTTCGTTACAAAATATATAATTATATATTCATTTATATACATGTGGTGTTTATGTGTGTGTGTGTGTGTGTAATTTCGTTGATTACGTCATACGAAAAAATAAATCTTCTGAACTTGATCGTTGATCTTCAATTACGTAAAAAAACATATCATCTTTGATCATGTAATTGTGTTTATTGTTATTATAATAATAAATAAATTATTTATTTTTTAAATAAAATATATTAATGCAATTCTATATTTAAATTATGTAATATTAAAAAAAAAAAAAACCATAAAAATTGTTTACCTTGTGATTTTTATTAATTTGTTAATCATTGACAAAATTATTTGCTTAAAAGTTGTACAAACTTGTTTGAACTTTTATTAATACAAACATAAAATAATAATTAATTTAAATAATTAAAAAATATAATACGATGCTATATATATAAGAATAATTTTATCAAACAATATTATTATTAAATAATTTAATTGAACAAAATAATTATTTCATTTCAAATAATTTAATGTTGTGTTTGTGTTTTGTTCAATTTTATTGTATAATAATTTCCAAATTGTATTATACGTCTGTTTACCTTGACAAGATGATAACGAATGATAAATAAAATATTGAACGATCAAATTCATGTCACCCTTTCACCCTTTCACCCTTCACCCTTCACCCTACACCCTACACCCTACACCCTTTAATTTTTTCTACAACGAAAATCAGATATAAAAGTCGTAGTTTATGTTTTCCAAAAGATTAGAAACGAGGATAGAAGAGAGAGAGAGAGAGAGAGAGGAGAAGAAAGAGAAAGAGAGAAATAGAAAGGGTAAGGGAGTAAAGGGAGAAGGTTCCCCCCCCCCCTTTTGCAAAGGAAGCATCATCGATCGAGTTCTCTTCTCTTGTCAGCGAGAATTTAGCTCCACCTCTCACTAAAAACGAACATCTTACTCCTATTTTCTTCTAAATTAATTGTCTGTTTTTTGGTTTATAATATTGCAGTTGTTGTTAATAATAATAATAATAATAATAATAATAATAATAATAAGTAATTTGATTTATTTCTTAGAATTATTAATCATAAAATGTGGTTTTGTGGTTAATAATAAGGACGTTGATTCAATTTCGAGAAATTGGAAAGTTCTGTGTCTGATTTTTCTCATAGAAATCTTTCAATGTTCATTTGTTTATCTGTCATTTATTTTTATTTTTTTTAAATTATTTATAAGACCTACCACCCTTCCTTTTTTTTTTTTTATTTTTTGATAAATGTACCACCATCATTTTTGGATGGACCACGATTATTTAATTAATGATATATAAAATTACACATTTGATATGATGTTGTAAATTAAATTAAATTGCAAACTATATTTGTTTTTATAATAGAATATTTTAAATAAATATTATATTATAAAATAAATTTCATAATACAATTGCAATAAATGAAGGAAATAATCCTATTGCAACAGAAAGAAAAAAATTATAATAACATTACACACAAAGTATCAATAATAATAAAAATCTAAATTTCATCTTTAACAAATTCTTTTCTACTATAAAAAAAAAAAGAAAAGAATCCCATTGATCTAAAAGATAAATAAAAAAATAAAAAAAACCCCTATAACCAAACCGAGAACACAATTCGACGATTTAAAAATCCTCGAACATAAAACATCAAATGTTTTAATACGAACGCGTAAACATTAAACGAAAGAAAAAAATTCAAAACCTAAGAAGAAGAAGAAGAAGAAGCATAAAAAATACTCAACAAGATAATATTATAATATTACAACAATAATAATAATAATAATTATTAAAAATTTACCCTGAAGCATGTTGTTATCAGCTTCCTCATCCGCCAAGCAGCGAATGCTGCCGATGCTGGAAGACAGGAGACTCATCTTCTTTTCTTTATTAAATCTCGCGTTTAAATTGTGACTCAAAAATTGGTCCTTCGAGATTTCAAAGATTTCAAAGATTTCAAAAATTTCAAAAATTTCAAGATGGAAGAAGAGAAAAATTGTCCCCAAACAAAAAACAACAACAACAAAAAATAATCAAACAAAAGTGAAAAATCGAAAGATGAACATCAAAAAGTATCCCCCGAGAAAACAAAAAGAATAAGAAAGGATTAATATTAATATTAATAATAACAATAATAATAATATTTAATAAAATAAATAAATAAATAAATGGCAGGCGATTGGCCCGAGAAACGGTCAAGAACGTTGCGCGAACCAATCGCCTTGCTTTCCTGAATCCTACGAAAGGCGTCCGTCCATCGGCACTGAACACGGCCTTAAACTTTCGCCCAACCAACAAAAAAATGCTCCTTATATATATATATATATATATATGTGTTTGTGTGTGTGTATGTGTGTGCGTGTAAGTGTTTGACTCGAGCAGGTGTTTGTTTATGCAGTTGTATGTTTTAATAGTACAAATGTATGCTGCATGTATTTGACAGCAGGTGCATGTGTGATGTGTGTGTGTTATAGGTGTGTGTGTGTGTGTGTTTGTGTGAATGTATATATATATATATATATATAATACTCTGGATCGATTGGTTGTTTCCTCGAGACCAGAAGGTTAAAGCTTCTCTGCTTTTAACTCTCAATCTCGTTTTTTTTTTAATTAAAAAAAAAAAAAATATTAAAAATAGAAATCTCTCTCAGAGAACAAAATAAAAGAGAGAGAGAGAGAGAGAGAGAGAGATAGAAAATATGCAATGGCGTCACCGAAGCCGGTCGTCCTTCGTCTCTTCAATTTTTATTTTATTTATTATTATTATTATTATTACTATTATTATATTGTCCCTTTCTTTAAAAAAAAAAAATCGAACACAAAAAAATCAAATTTTGTTTCTATACTTTTACTTCTATCCTCTTAACCCCCTACGCGTATAAATAAATAAATAAATAAATAAATAAATAAATAAATAAATAAATAATAAATTTATAAAATATCAGTCTTCCTCTTCCTCCTCTTCCTCTTCCTCTTCTTCCTCTTCCTCTTCCTCTTCCTCTTCCTGTTCCTCTTCTTTCTTCTTCTTCTTCTTCTTCTTATCTTGAGTAAACTTAGAACAATATTTTCTTTTTTATTTCTTTCTCACTAATTTTGATTACACTTATTGGTTCCTCTTTCTCTGTCTCTCTTTCTCTTCTTATTTGACAGAAGTTCTTTTTATTATTATTATTATTATTATTATTCTTGTTCTTGTTGAATAATCTTCCTGTCTCACCAGCACCGCGGATACGTCGCGAAAGACGCGCCGACAATGACGATGATCGTCTACCTCACCCTCCCACCCCCTTCGATCTGGTCCTCCTCACGAAGAAGACGCGCGCGCACGCGTATCTCTCTTTCTCTTTCTCTCTCTTTCTCTCTCGGTTTCTCTCTTTTTTTCTGTCTCACGTTGAGAAATCGATACTGCCCAGGTCTTTGCTACCGTGCGCGCGCGCAAAACTTACAAAGAGAGAGACAGAAATACACACACACACACACATTTATTAATATGTGTACCATAGATATACATATATGTATATGTATATATATGACACTTTGCTGTTTTCCTGGCTGGTTGGTTGGTTGGTTGGTTGGTTGGTTGGCTGGCTAGCTGGCTGGTCCCAAAGATCAGACACGCAGGCGCGTGCATGCGACACCACCACACCTGTCAGACGACGACGACGACGACGACGACGACGACGACGACAATTAACTATAACACGTGCTTATTTTATATTTTTTATTATCTTTTATTTTACGTATTGATAACGTTGATATTTCATTGATTTATTTTGATTTATTTTGATTTATTAATTAGATCAAATTTAATTATTTATTTATAAAGTATCCTTTATGTTTAACTTTTGTATATATGGTGTGTTGGTGTGTATGTATTTTTTATTTATTAATTACTATTTTATTTTTATACTTAATCTTTGTATATTCTTATTCATGTATTTATATGTATATATATGTGTACGTAAATGTATTTTTTATATTTTTGTTTGTTAATAGTATAGAATATTGTTTACAGATAAGAATTTTAGAGTACTAAGTTTTATGATTATTTTTTGTCAATTTTTATTTCTATATTTATCTATGTATGTAAATGTATGTTAATGTATTTTTTATATGTCTGTTTTTTATTAATATAGAAGGTTATTTACAGATACACGCATTAGATTATTTATTTTATGATTCTTTTTTAACAATTTTCATTTCTGTATTTATTTATGTACGTAAATGTATTTTTTATATATTTTTTTCTTAGTATAGAAGATTATTTACAGGTTCACGCTATATTTATATATTTATATATTTATATATAGTATGTAACTGTATTTTTTATATTTTTGTTTTTTACAATTAGTATAGAATATTATTTACAGGTACACATTTTAAAGTATTTATTTTATTGTAATTCTTTTATCAATTTTTATTACTGTATTTATCTATGTACGTAAATGTATTTTTTAAATATTTGTTTCTTAGTATAGAAGATTATTTACAGGTTCACGCTATATTTATATATTTATATATGATATGTAACTGTATTTTTTATAGTTTTGTTTCTTACAATTAGTATAGAATATTATTTACAGGTACACATTTTAAAGTATTTATTTTATCATAATTTTTTTATCAATTTTTATTACTGTATTTATCTATGTATATAAAAAAAAATGTATTTTTTATATTTTCATTTCTTACAATTAGTATAGAAGATTATTTACAGATACACATGTTAGAATATACTTTTGTTTTTTTTTTGTATGATTAATTAATAAACTTCGTTTTAATTTAATATATTATTATTATTATTATTATTATTATTATTTTATAATTTAAAGTTTTGTCCTTTTGTTTTATGTTTATTTATCACTGATATAGTTAAAAAAAATTTTTCAATACAATCAAATCGAATGAAAATAATAGGCGTCGTAATATTTTCATCGACCACTTTGCGTCACGAAGACAACGTGAGGTATGGTATGGCGTGTGAGATCGTGCTCGCGATTTCTAACGAGGGCGCCACTCGTCGCATTGCAATGTGCATCATGTATATGTATGCGTCTCTTATATATGTATGTATTTGTTAATACGTATATATAATTTTCTTATTGTGTGTATCTTATATTATGTTTATATGTGTATTATGGTTATATCGTTATGAAGCCTTATGCTTGCTAGCAGACGGAAACGAGCCACGACGATGACTCACGATCGGTAAACGGAAAGGAAGTTTAGTAACATGTTGATTCCCTTTTTTTTTTTTTTTTTTTTAATCTTTTTTTTTGTTCTTTGAATTAATAAAAAACAGGAAATATCGGAAATATTTTCAATAAAATTATTTGTATTTTTATAGTGGTAGTTATGTTGATTAATTTAAATTATTTCTACGTGAAATAGTTTGATTTAAATAATGATAATAAAAAGATTATTTAAATAATCATTATATCACTAAAATACAACAATTTTTTTTTAAATATTTTAGATATATATATATATATCGATTCATTTTTTTTTTTTAAAACAAATCTATTGAGATTTACACGATGTTGGTATTTTTAAAAAAATAATCAATGTATTGTGTAATTGTATATTGATTATTTAAAATAATTTAAATTTATGTACATATATTAATTGAAATGATTTTGAAAAATGTAAACTATTTATATGTAATTTATATGACGTTGATATTCCTGTAAAAATCAATTAAATGAATTTCTAAATTTATTGCTGATTTGTTTAAAATGAATTTTGTGAAAATATATTATATTATGCAAATATTATTAATGATAATTTGTAAACGATATCATTTAAATATATATTTATATAATTCCATTTATAAATAATTAATATTATCATTAAGATAAGATTTGTAATAATTCATATAATGATCTCTAAATGTTATAATAATTAAATTAAAAATTATTATATTTATTATTTATATATATATATACAAATGTACTATATTATGTGAATACTATTTGAAATACTATAAAAGTTAAATATAATTTAGCTATATCGATTTATAGCTAATCGATATACGTTTTTAAAATAAATTTTAATCAATCAACGGTTCAACAAAAAATTTGACTAATATTCAAAAATTAAAACGTAAAAAAAAAAAAACATACACATGAATGTAAAAAGTCAAACGCAAAAACAAGTTTTTCTACGTGTAAAAAAATTGATTCACAAAGTAGTGAATTTTAAAATGAAATGATAAAAAATGAAAAAAAAAAAAATAAATAAATTAATAAAACATGAACAGAACAAACAAATAGAAGAACAAGAACAGAAAGAAGAAGAAGAAAAAGAAGAAGAAGAAGAAGGAAAAGAAAAAGAATGCGTTTTCGCAATGAATTACTAATTCATCCACGTGTGTTTTCAATCGTCTACAAAAAAATGTCTTCGTATCCAGCCTTTCCCTGAGAATACACACACGTACATGTCGTTGTTGTTCGTATTCGTATTACATCGTGTTATTTACTGTCGTAACAGATGATGTAAGAACATAAAACCATTGTGTGTCACATTTTAATCGTTCACCAAGATACGAAGGTCGATACAAGTTCCCCCCTCCCCCCCCCCAAAAAAAAATATATAAAATAAAAAATAAAGAATAAAATAATATTAAAATTAATATTTAAAAATATATATATATATATAAATATTAAATATAAATATAAAAAAATGAAATAAAAATATTATATGCAAGTATAGTAACTTATAGTAACTTATAGTAATTTTTGCAACATCTATAATTATTATGATAATAAAAAAAAAAAAACCAAAGTACAATATATATGTAAAAAAAAAAAAAAAATACCAAGATTGTATATAAAAGAAAGGTGTATATCATTTTTCATTTTATCTAACGCGTTATACAGGAAACGTGCATACCGTTGCTCACCATGAGAGAGAGAGAAACACCATACATTTTATTTCCACTTTGATAAACTACAAAGTGTATCTACGAGGTATCGTTTACGGCGTTAAGTGTCTCCTATTAAATAACTCGTA